TCATACAGAGCCTGCCTAACAAGATTAGGATTTGATAGCACTGGATTCAAACCCCAGTGCCATCAAATAAAGAAATTTCCAGTGCAGTGAATTCAAATGGTGTCCAAGAGGCCACTGGATGCTGAAGATACAAAGCATTTGCACTTTTCATTCACACTGAAAACATATCGAGAAATAGTGATGCAAGTAGAAATGCAGTAGTGAAATAGTTTCTTAAAGAGAATAATTGCTGCATCTGTCACAATATGTGGTTAGAGGTAGATCTCATCTCTGGCTTTTATGGTTTGAATTGGAACTGTTACGGTACAGGCTCATGTGAGGAATACTTATCTCTAGTTGGTAGCTCTTTTGGAGGTGGAGCCCAGCTAATGGAGGAAGGTAATGGGGGCATGTGTTTGTGGACTAGATCTTGTCCCAGGTCCCTCTCTGTTGCTCTCTGTTTTGTGTATGTCATGAGATGAAGAACCTTTTGGGCTGCCATGATGTTCTGTCCAAACACGTGGGGCTAAGAAACTGCTGATGAATCACTGTAGCTCAGTGCCAGTAGCTCATGACTGTAATCCTAGCTACTAAGGAGGCTAAGATTTGAAGATTGCAGTTTGAAGCCAGCCCAGGTGTGAGCAAGAAGAAAGGACAGCCATGGAAGGGTAGATAGCTGGAGCTGAGTCTTACGTAAAGCCCATATATATATATGTATGTATATATGTTCCAGAGTCATCCTACCCAATGGATATATGTTTTTTTTTTCCAGCACTGGGAACTGAATTTAAGGATTCACACTCACTAGGCAAGCACTCTACCACTTGAGGAATGTCCTCAGTTCAAAGGATATTTAACTGGGCACCAGTGGCTCATGCATATAATCCTAACTACTCACAAGACTGAGATCTGAGGATCATGGTTCAAAGCCAGCCCAGGCAGAAAAGTCCCTGTAAGACTCTTATCTCTAACCACTCAAAATCCAGAAGTGGCACTGTGGCTCAAGTGGTAGAGTGCTAGTCTTGAGCACAAAGAAGCTCAGGGACAGTGCCCAGGCCCTGAGTTCAGGCCCTACATCCAACAAAAGAAGAAGAAGAAAGAAGAGGAGGAGGAGGAGGGGGGAGGAGGAGGAGGAAGATTTTTATACTTCCTCCATTCATCATTGGTTGAGAGTGTCTAGGCTAAGATGAGCAGCACTCTCTGCCTATAGTGGTTGGTCACGGTGGTGTATTCCTAAATCAAGTAAATTTAGAATACATGTGATATTGGAGTAGGGGTCATAACTGGGGTGAACAGTACCAATTAATTCTTGAGAATGCAGTAAAAAATTCAATGTATATCCTACAAAATTAAGAAAAGAGAGGGAGGGTTGAGTTGGGAGGGGTGGATGGGAATGCTGAAAGGTATGACATAGATCAAGATGCATTATTTTTGTAAACTGCTTTGTTGAACGGCAACTCCTTTGTATAACTACTTAAAGATAATTTTAAAAAAGTGAGCAAATCAAGGGAAAAGTAAAAAGAAAATAAAAATTAACTTAGAGCTACTGAATTTTTCTTTCTTTTTTCTCCTCCCTCCCTCCCTCCCTTCCTTCCTTCTTTCCTTCCTTCCTTCCTTCCTTTTTCCTCTATTGGGGCTTGAATTCAGGGCCTTGTGCTTTTGCCTAGGCTTTCTTCACTCTCAGCAGGTGCTCTACCATTTGAGCTATACCTCCACCAGCTGTTTTACTGTTTATTTGGAGAAAAGAGTCCTTCAGATTTGTCTTCCTAGTGTGGTCCCAAACTCTAATTCTTAGTTCTCAGCCTCTTGAGTAGTTAGGACTGATAGGTGTGAGCCACTGGTGCCTAGCAGTTCTCCATTTTTTTTTTTAACATGACTTCTTCAGGTCAGAATGATTGGAAGAAAATAGCTACTACTATAACCATGTGAACATTTTCAATGATGGACATTATAAAGAATTATGAATTCAAATTTGGTCCATGAGGGCCTACCTAAATAAATTATTTAGAGTAAAATATTTTCGATATCAATTCTTTTTTATTTAAACACACCTTCATAATTTTTTATTTTTATTTTTATTTTTTACACCTTCATAATTTTTTGCATATTACCCAATTATATTCTAGCAAACTGTACTATGTTCCTCACAAAAGTTTAGTGTAACATTCTTTTTGTTGACAAACACATTCTGTCATGAAGGGGCAGAGTGATTTCAAATCTTTTTTACTATGTAAGAATGACAACAGTATGCTTTAGTGACTAAAACTCATAAAAGTTAGAATAAGTGAAGATTTTCTTCATTAGTCACAACTTGGTTCAACAGATCCTTATCCATGTTGCCAAGACTCTGGGTCAATCTTGAAATTAGAATTCAATAGCTTTCAGTTCTGTAAGCATCCAAAAGTCAGGAAAACTTCCCATTCATCCATTAACAATGCTTCTGGTCAATGGCAGCTTCCAGTTTTTTCTACAACACTGGGCTGAAAGAACTCAGGGAGCTACTTGCAAGCAAGGACATACCCAGAGTTCTCACCACACTTGGTGAGAAAACAAGCAAATATGGTGCTGGCAGGAGAGGGCCACACAGTGATATCTGTCCATCTTTGCCAGTGCTTCTTTGGCTCAGTCCTGATTTCTTTGAGGTCTCCACTAATTTGCAAACATTGGAAAGCAATAGTGATGAAGGTTTTTTTTGTCTTGTTTTGTTTTCAATGAGCAGAGAGGCCCTGTGTTCTCTGTGGGCTGCTCAGCATGCAACTGACTATGCTGTGGTATGGAATATTCCATTGCAGTTTCTGCCATTGTGGGCCCTGCCTCTCTGCAGCAGGATTGGAGGCAGAGGGCAAAACGTGGTATATGTCATCTGAAAACAGCCTGCCTTGTTCACCTACACTATTCCTAGCAAGCTTGAGCACAACAAGCTAAAGGACAGCACTCAGATACCATGTTCAAGCTCTATTACTACCACCACCATCACCACACGAACACACCACTACCATCACCACGGTACACATACACACATTTCACTATCACCACACACACACACACACACACACACATACACACCACTACCACTATCACCACCACATATAAACACTCATACCACTACCACCACCACCAGACACATACCACACACACCACTACCACTACACACACACACCATCACCACTCACACACACCACTATCACCACACACACATACCTACTACTGCCACCACACACACATACATACACCTACCACCAACACCACATACACACCACTACCACTACCACCGCTGACACCATACACACACACACACACACACACATACCACCACCACCACCACCACCATATCACCACTACCACTACCACCACTTCATTTAATTTCAGGTGAGACTAGAATATGTGGCCTTTTGCAGCCCCAGATGAAAAGAAATGGGCCCTGACAAGGCCTAGCAGTGTCTGCATCCTCTAGTTGAAAAGACTACCTTTAAACATGGTATTTTTTTTCCAAACATCATTCTATTCCATTTTAATACAAAAAATATTATTGCTTGCCATTACATGACAAAGCAATTGATTGATTGCATATTTTCTCCTTTTCAATGAGTTGTGAACACAGCCCCTGTTAGGGGCCAGTAAAGCAGGTGGTGAGAGCAGATCCTGAACCATTCGGTTCTCCGCTTCTTCAGGAATACTATTCAAATGCCGCCAGAAACAAGTCTTGCCTTGTTTCCCATGTGGGGAAAGAAGAAAGTCTTTGTTCCCAAGTAAATGAAAATACAAATCACAAGACTAAAATTATGAATGCAAAACAAGATATTAAAGTGTGGCCTGGATGTAGCATTTGCATGCATTTAAATATGCATCTGTCATTCCCTTTGCTAAATTCAGCAGGCTCTGAAAATATTAAACAATAGAGTACAATTAGTAATTAGAGGAATTGTTTGGTAATATATTTTCATTTATTTATGTTCCGATGGCCAAACCTTTAGGTAATTAAGGGCACTGGGATATAAAACCACATCATTTGATTGGTCAAAGTCCAGATCCGTACAGTCTAAAAATAATGCACAAAGCTATTTTTCATAAATTGATGTGATAACATTCAAATGATCATGACAGGACAAAACCATTTCTAAAACAGAAAAATGCAAGTTAAATTGTAAAGCTAGAAAAAGCTTTAGAGATTGTTAGATTGGATATTCTTATCTCACCTACTCATTCTGAAATCTGACCATATTTATTTTCCAAGAACCTAAAAGAAATTTAAGATTTCTTCCCTCCTCACCTCCCTCGAAAGACCAATTTGCTGAGCCTACTGCTCCAGTTTGCTTGGCAACTGAAATTTCCAAAATTGCTTTTGTGCTTTCCTGAGTTGGCCTACCTTGCTTTTGATTTGGAGGTGGGGGGAGCCCCAAAACAAAAATAAAAACAAAATAAAACCCCAAAACAAAAACAAAAACCTTAAAAAGGGAAATCATTTCTTAAGCAGTAGCAAAAGTGAACCAAATTTCAGCCACACTTAGAATTCTTGCTCTCAATCCAATCGAGGCTTCTGGAGGAAAAAGAATGCATTTCATGAGAACTCCGCTCTCAGCCATAAACTCAAAATACATCACATTCTTTGTTGTTAATTGGCACTTACCTCACCTGAAGGCTTTTGCCAAGAAGAGCAGAGGGGTTTAATAGGGGAAGGAAGAAAGGAAAAAGCCTGGAGCTCTGGAAAACACTCAACAGCCACATGTGATTCTTAGCTAGGGGCTTTGCACCCTCAGTAGGCTACATCAACAAAGTACCCTATGTGCTTTCTCAGACCTCCGCTGTTTGTTTGGGGAGCAATGCTCAGACTGGAGCCTGAGTGGTAACTGCTTGGGATAATTACGAAGACAGCTTGAAAACTATGCTCCTCTTTGTTTCAGCCTCCAGATGACGGCTGTCTGACCTCTGCTTGTGCCAGTTTTATTTCAAAGCGCTTTTCTTTCCATATTTCAAAGGTCAGTGTGTTTACTGGTGGCCAAAAGGAGCCTGTGTGTAAGAGAAAGAAACACATGTGGCTGAGTGGCAGAGATCAGGCACGGGACTTGATGGGAATCCTAAATGAATGGTAAGTGAGAACTCAGAGGGCCATAGCCTCTCCTTCATTATTACCACTGAATGAGTGGGGAAGGAGTAAATGCTACCAATGGTCTTTTGGGGTTTTTTTTTTGGGGGGGAGGGGTAAAAGGAGGGGTGATTTAAGCAACTAAAACAAAAACAACAAAAATTACAGGTCTGGTTTAAGAAGAAGAAATAGAGGTATTTCCAGTAAAACATTATCAAACGTTCGGCCAAGAAAATGTCCACTTCATCTCCTTGAAATGAAAATTGTTCTTCTTTCCAAGAAATCAGCCTTGAGAGTCTGGCCACCCTTGAAAACCCTTAAGATGGGTTTTGGGTACGGAATGTTAATCGTGAGAAGTAACAGCAATGTCCTTTTCAGGACTCTCGGTTGGGCTTCTGGTTAATCAGGCTGAGTTCCCTGCCCCCAGATAAAACATTAATGCTTCATTATGAATGTTTGAAAATGCCATATGATTTCAATGAAATAACTCAATACCTATTTCAAGTCTTTCTTTCTTTTTCGGTTTGTCCTGAGGCTTGATTTCTGGGCCGAGGCCCTGTCCCTGAGTTTCTTTTGCTCAAGGCTAGAGACAGAGCGCCACTTCCGACTTTAGCTGACTAGTTTATTTGAGATAAGAGTCTCATGGACTTTCCTGACTGGGCTGGCTTTGAACTGCGATCCTCAGATCTCAGCCTCCTGAGTACTTAGGGTTACAGGTGTGAGCCACCAGTGCCTGGCTTTCAAGTGTCTTCATGATTTATTTTCTTCTAATCTGTATTTTCTCTCTCTTGTTTTGGGTAGTGGTGGTGGTGGTACTTGTGTTGGAGCTCAGCGTCTCACACTCCTTCGGCTTGCTTCCTTGTCTGGTGGTCTACCTCTTGAGTCATTTCCCCCAGCCCGGCTTTTTCTAGATTAATTGGAGATGGAATCTCACAGAACTTTTTTGTTTTGGCTGGCTTTGAACCTTGATTCTCTGGTTTCTACCCTCCTGATGGTTACAGTTTGATGCACTAGCACTCAGCTCTCATCTATATTTTTTTACCTATCATCTTTGGACAAGAGGTAATATATGTCATCAAAAATAGTAAGAGTGGGCTGGGAAGGTGACTCAGTGGTAGAGCGCTTGCCTTGCATGTATGAGGCCCTAGGTTCGACTTCTCAGCACCACATAAGCAGAAATAAGCTGGAAGTGGTGCTATGGCTCAAGTGGTAGAGTGCTAGCTTTGAGCTGAAGAGCTGAGGAATAGCACCCAGGCCGAGTTCAGGCCCCACAACCAACAATAACAACAAAAATTAGTAAGAGCACCTACTATAAAACTAGATTTGCCTGGGTTCAAATCTCCTACTACTACTTATTAGCTGTGTGATCTTGGGATATTTGCTGGACCAATCTGTGCCTAGTTGCCTTGTCTACAGATACAACAAAATAAAATGGGTAAGCTTGTGTGAGAAACAGAATAGTGCCTAGTATTTTAAACACTCCCCTTTCTGACTTGAATTCTGATCTGAGGCAAAAATCTTTGGGACTCAAGGATATGATCTTTTTGGAACTGGGCTTCTTGAATTGATCTACTTACACCTGTAGAAATGCTAAGTAAGTTGTTGAAAGGCCAAGGAACAGTGTTTGTCTTGTAAAGCAGAGAGGAGAAAACAAAGACAGCACATGAAATGATAAAATTTAATCTTTCAGTTTTTGTGAATTCCGCACACCTATCATGGTAATAAGGGAACTTTTTCTGCATTAGTTTTATTCAGGACAAACAGAATTCTCCCTATTTGATTAGGAAAAAGCGTGGCAATTTCTTGGCTGTAACTCTGAAAGAAATAGAGAGGAAAGAAAGGGGACATACAGAAAGGAGAATGGAAGTGGAGTCTATTAGGTGAATATGACTCCCTCCATTTTACAACCAGAGAAAAATAGATTCAGATGATTGACTTTTCAAGTCTATTTAGCAGTCAGTGCATCCTCTGCTTGGTTTTGTTGTGTTTTAATGAATGCTTTGTGAATTTGCGTGTCATGTTTACTCAGGGCCCTGTTAATCTCTTCTCTGTACCATGCCAATTTTATTACTTTATTATTGATTTTTTGAGTATGTGTGATGGTAAAGTGATCACAACATCCATTTCTATTTGGCATCAAGTCCCTCATTTCAACTTCTTTTCTACATTTCCTTGGAGAAGATAATAGAATGGCATTATGGGGGTCAGGACCTAGATTGCAGATGATTCATTGTTTCTTGGTCTCTTTTAGCAAGAGGCTCTAGTATTTCTTCCAAGTCATTTCTACCTCTGTTCAAAAGAAGTAGACTCATTGTTTTAAGCCGTGTGCATGCCTGTCCTGGGCCTAGGCTCTATCCTTAAGCCTCTTTTTGCATAAGGCTAGTGTTTCTACCACTTGAACCACAGCCCCAGTTCTTACTTTTTCTGAGTAGTTTATTGGAGATAAAAGTCTCATCGACTTTCTTGCCCAGGCTGACTTCGAACTGTGATACTCAGATCTCTGCTTCCTGAGTAGCTAGGATTACAGATTAGCTGTAATTAGGATTACAGGTGTGAGCTACCAGTGCTTGGCTGAGCCATTAATTTAGACATCAAGAGATGAGAACATTCAGGAAGTTAATTTCCATTCACTGATATAGCCAGCTCAGGTAATGCATTGATGCCATAAAAATATTGTCTTGCTTTCACATAGAAAATCCTACATAATCCAAGTTAATTCATAAGTATCATGTTAGTTTCTAGTATTAGCTTCTTATTGCTTCTGCAAAAATTAGTGACTTAAAAACACACAAATTTCTACCTTACACTTCCAGAATCAGAAATCCTAAAAGGGCCCACTGGGCTAAAGTCAAGATCAGCAGGCTACATTGTCTCTTGGGGGGCAGAGATGAATTTGTTTTCTAAAACAGATTCCTGCCTTCCCATCTTGGAATGCTAGCAATTGCTGTTCTAGCAAAGAATTGCTTGCTCAAGCAACTGAGAGCCTCATTCTACTTCCTTTTTGTACTTTGGTGGTTGTATTTAACCTCAGCGGAGAATCTAGGATAATCTCATTTTAAGGTCAGTTGATTAGTAGCCTGTAATCTATCTGCAACCCCAATTCTTCCTTTTCATATAGCATGAAGTATCCAGTTTCTAGATACATACATCTTTGAGAGGCCATGCTACCTACCACAGGTACCTACCTGCTGTTGTCAATGGAATATACCCTCAGTATCCTAGCTCTGACACATTCTAGCTGCCTAACTTTGAATTTCTTGGTCTCTCAGTTTTCTAATTTGGAAATTATTTTAGTCCTTCTTATGATGTCATTAGGATGAGGAAATGAATGTTTTTAAGACATCATTGGTTTCTAATTGCTTATTTATTTATTATTATTATTGTTATTATACTGGTGAGATGATTATTTTAAAGATGACCCTGACAACAACAATACAACTTAAGCAAGTACGTTGTGCATTTATTTTAAGGTTTTTCTTTATTCTGAGATTACCTGTGGCCTCTCCTGTCTTGTCTTTCTCTAGGTGGGTCATCAATCTGCCAGCTGCCTTTAATCTCATCCACTGAGCCAGGGGTGTCCCCACTTGGGCAGTGGTTCAGAATCTTGTAAGTATGCATGGAAGATGTTACAGTAACAGAATCAACATGAACATTATTGCAGGCATTGTCTTTTGATTGGGTCCTGAAATTCCACTCTGAAGAATTAGTATCAGAGTGACAACCATTGTCAAGTCATAGGATTCAAAGTTTTCTCACAGAATATTTAATACTGGCTCCTCTCTACAGTATGGAGTATGATCTTTGAATTGTTGCCACACAGGCTGAGGTTCAAGTGCAGGCTGCAGCTGTTGATAGATTTTTTTCTTGTTTTTGCTGTGTTATTTAATTGTTAATATGGGCAGGCCCATATGGATAAGAGAACATAAAATTCCCCTAGAGAGTGTTTTTGTCAGAGAACAGCTCGCCTCTATCAGTGTGAAAGCAGTTATCTCAGGTGAATTAGGAAGCACAACTATCTTATTCTTCCAAATCTCGCTTTCCTTTCCCTTACCAGAGGATAGTTCCCAGCATTGTTGAATTCAGCACATACATTTGCAATGTTCCTCGTGATCTTTTGGGGTTCCCCTCCATTGTGATCTGGACAGCTTGTAGTTTTGAGGGAACTCAAATTTTGGTCAACCTTTAACAGGACTAAGACTGAAACCATAGAAAAACAGCTTTCTCTTTTTTATCCATCTCCCATGGTCTGATAGAGAAGTCTCCTACACATCTCGCTGGAGGTCCTAGTCCTGATCACTAGTTGCAGAAGATCTACATGGAAATAGAGAGCTCAGGTATATGAACTCCATCTTCTTAAAAAAATTATTATCTTTAAGTGGTTGTACAAAGAAGTTCCCATTCTACAAAACAGTATATGTATACAAAGTGTCTGATAACATTGTCACCCATCGCTCCTAACCCATCCCTTCTCTCACTTTTCTTCCTTTTTTAAATTGAGATTAGGTGATTACATAAATTTCACATATTTCACAGTATTGTAGGATAGGATAGTTAGTTAAAGTCACAAACACATTTTAACCTTCACAAGGCAAATTGTCATTATCATGGTCTATAAAGTTTGTGAATTCTATGGAACTCCATCTTTTTGGTCATCAACTTGATTCCCTTCCCACACCTCTTCTTTACTAACCTTGATGCAAACATAGACTCCTGTTGGTAAGTCTATGGTAAAGAAGTTTTTTTTCTCCCATATTCCTAATTATTTCACTGAATTCAAGAAGGTTTCCTAATCCTGTTGATGTATATTTCAACTATATAATTGTGAGTAATTTGTGAACATTTATCAAGATGAAGTCTTATCCATATGCCTTTTAAGAAAGATGCCAGAACTTCGTTTTGTTGTTGAAGCTGTGATTTTTCCTGTTTCAGAGTCAGAAATACTAAAACTAAACAAGAATATGGATTTCACTTTCAATAAAATCACAGGCTGGTAAAACCCAAATTAAAACAGAGTACCGGAAATCAAGCTGCCTACTTCTATTGGAATGAACAAAAGCTGTTTCCAAGTCTACACTGAAAGGCTATTTGTAAAAAATGCAGAACTATTCAAGCAGATAGTTATCATGAGTTGGCATGACTTTTCATGGTTGCCAGGAGGTTTCAAGGACAGATATCCATAATACATCAGTATTTTAACAGAAGAAAAAGAACAAGAAGATCTTAAATGCTCTAACGCATTTATGAAAAAAGCAACACTTCCTCTTGAGACTCAGCAATCATCATTTTATTACAAAAAATAAAAAGCTTTCCATATAATACATCCTTTTCCTAATGATTCTTCCTTTTAGTAATATTCTCCTTCTGTATATAACTCACTATCTTGAAATACCAACAATAGTAAGCATAATAAATATGACAAGAAAATCTTTGGTTTGTTGTCCCATAGCTCTTAGCTAAATAAGGGATTCACAACCTGGGCTCCAAAGAAAAGTTTAAATGTTTGTGTTTTTTTTTCTGAAACTGTGTTCATAACTTTCATAAATAGACAAAATATTTACAAAGCATCCCTGAAAGATGTTAATCAAGCAGATTAAAAAGGACCAAATATGCAAAAACTAAATTAATAAGCAAAAACAATCACAGCAACAAAAACACAGAAGTACAGATTTCTTCGTATTTCAGCATTACTGCCATTTTGTTTCAGCTGGGCTTCTGAAAACAACAACAACAGCAACAACAACGAACTAATGAGTAAATTAATTCAAGGTTAAATTTTCTCAGATTTGGAATTATTGAGACTTCCTGCTGTCCTCTTCAACTCAAAGGCATTGTATTGTCTTCCTTCCAAATCCTTTTATTCTCCACCATTCCCAGGAAGTTTACTATAGTTCATCCTTCTTGTAGGCTCCTTTGCTTGAGATCTAATTAGTCATTGTTCCTGACTTTTGTTTCTCATATGTATTCAATTTACCATCATCCTATGTCACTTTCAGAAGTCCATTACCACTACCCTTTCTTCTGTTTGTTAAACAACAACTAGTCTAGTCTATCATGAACACTAGTTGCTGACTGAAAATTAGAATCACATGGGGAGCTTTTAAAATAAGCTTGCTGGTGAGGAGGATCAGGAGGGAGAAAACTGGGAGAGGAGGTGATACTGTTCAAAAAGAAATGTACCCAATGCCTGACTTTTACAACTATAACACATCTGTATATCACCTTTATGATAAAAATGAAAAAGAAAATAAATAAAATGCACTAAAGGTAAGGCCTTATACTCAGAAAGTCCCATATGAACCTCTGTAGGTTTCAAATCTTCTTTTAAAAACTTTTCTTAGGGTTCAGCTAGTGCTGAGGGCCATTTGTGTAACCTTTCAATTGGTGACCTTAGATCCAATCTTTGTACTCTTCATTGTATCCCTTATTACTTGTCTCTCCTGCATTGATCTCAGCATCTTGATTTCCTTATAACTTCTTATGATTAGAAGACTGTTGCCTTTTACTGGAGTGGCATTTGAATTGCCCTGTGGGACTTTAGGTTTCCCCAAACCACATGGGAACTTCCCAGTTGAAAAAGGTGACAAGATGATGTTCTTGGTCTGCCCTCAGTTTTTTTTTTTTTTTTTTTTTTTGTCGGTCGTGGGGCTTGAACTCTGGGCCTGGGCGCTGTCCCTCAGCTCTTCAGCTCAAGGCGAGCGCTCTACCACTTGAGCTACAGCGCCACTTCCGGTTTTCTGCTGGTTTATTGGAGATAGGAGTCTCACGGTCTCTCCTCCCCGGGCTGGCTTTGAACCGCGATTCTCAGATCTCAGCCTCCTGAGTAGCTAGGATTACAGGCGTGAGCCACCAGCGCCCGGCTTGCCCTCAGTTTTATAAATAGAAACTTGAGAGCAGGTAATGGCTTGCTCAAAGAGACGTAGACAATTAGTAGCAGGGATGGACCTAGAACTTAAGTCCCCTTCCTCTTGACTCCTTTTGATAGAGGATGGAAGCTAAGGCTGGGCCTTTGGCATTTTCTTTTTCTCTGCTTGCTAGCATTATTTTTCGGCCTCGGGTTTCCCGTTTGGAACATCCAGCAGGTATATATCTGTGTCTTCATGAAAACCAGTTGTGATTGAAAGATTTGGCTGGTTCAATTTGTCATGATTTGTTGACAGCAACCCTGCCGCTGCAAGGCCAGTAACACTTGGGCCTTGATGTCATGCCTGTCAACCTAATAATGTATTTAAGCACAGTGTTGTACTTCCGTCCCCAAACCTGTCTATATTCCTTTTGTATGAAACACTCAACTCTAGGAGTGCTATTTGGGATGCCCAAATAGCAGTTTAGCTGGTATTCAAGTAAAAACAAATGTTCCACCTGCCTTAAAATATCCTTACCTACCCCAAGAGTACCTGAAGTTCTCAATTTGGATCTTTCATCCCAGAAAAAAAGTCAACCTATATTTTGTACAATGTATACATAATACCTGAAGATCACAACTATAAATTAACAACTTCCATTAATACCTTAAAGCAGATGTGATTTATTAAAAATAAATTGTCATCCTAGAATGACCAAGTCATTCTACTCTACCATGGTAGAGTAGTTGTAGATGGAATTTCATTGATCAGGGTGGGTATAGAGAGGGACAGAGGGAAAAATCTTTGGAGCTAGGGTTCAGAGTTACAGGAGGAATGTCAACTTCTGGCAGGAGAGAGCAGAATATCAAGGAGGCTGACGGGCTACCTGCTTCTCACATGTACCAAATTTGGAACTTTTCCTAGAGTGCTCCTGGATTAGCTCACTTTTATTTGTTGTTTTCTTCTGGCTTTGGTGCTGTGGGCAGATATTTTTAGAAAGAATGAATGTCACTATAACTAACAATTACTTCACACTATATGCCAGTCACTGTAGAAAAAGCATTTTTTACTTGCATCAGTTTGCGACCTGGACCTTAGGAGACAGTCTGTGCTCAAAGCCTCTATTCTTACCCTCTATTCTATGCCCTCTCAATATTGCACCGTTTATAAGTAAGTGATGCAGTGAATCTTCAAATCCAGAACTTCAGATTCCAGATCATTCTGCTAGAATGTCTCCTTCCTTCTAATGGAGCATTAGACTGTACAGTTGTGGGAACACTAGAAATCTAGCAACAATTACTTGGTAAAGTATCTTCTTGAAGTTGCAATGGTCTGGGGTCTCAATAACAATGCTCTATTGATTTAATATAAAATGTCAATCCAACAACTGCAGTTGAGTATAAAGCTTACAAACTGTTAGGCAAACTCCCTGCCCAGCTGTTATTGTCTTGTACTGAAATGGAGAATTCAAACAAAATTACTTCTTGTCTCTTGAAAGGTCAGCTGAAATATAAAAGCTTTCACTTCTCCTTTGTCTATATAACCAAACACTGGCAATATATGGAGAACATCAGCAGTAAGCCAGAAATTGTGAGTTTAGAAATCATTGTACTATCTCTAGTTTCTTTTGTGAGGACCTTTGTGAAGGACTCTTAGATGTCTAGTAAATCCTCTCTACTTCAGGAGCTAAACAGATGGCCTGTCGTGTATTAATACAAAAATATGTTGTAATTTGGAGAAAGGTTTGCTCAACTCTCCACCCCCACCCCCATCTGCCTCCCCAATGACAGAAATAATTCTAGTGGTACAGTCTACTGGGAAGCTGGAGAGAACAATAAAGTGTCTTTCAAGACAGGGCCGTTGGAACTCAGCTTCCTGATTATTCTCTATAGGTTGGGAGGATAAAGGGAGAATTACCAAAGGAAAGGGAATGGGAAAGGCCAAGGGACCCAGGGTAAGTTCATACAATGTGTGAACTGCAGGGGGCCCCATCTTTGAAGTTCTCTCCCTTTTTCTTTCAGTAATGAACTATTCTTATACCCAAATTAAATTATTTCTCCCTCACTCAAAGCAAATAAATATGAAACAAAAAAATCAAACACACCAAAAGATACTCATGCTTTGTCAGAAAAGGTCCTTTTCTATTATTCTCTAGTTTTCCTGAGGGAAATGCCTCTTCTACTCTCTTAATAGATTTGACCTATCTTTTATTTCCATGGGATCTTAAAGGAACAGTAATACATGACAGCAGGGATCCCCATTCGTTTTTGTCAAGAGATTCTTCTTTTCATTTCTTCTGAAGCTTTAAGGTCAAATGATGGGGATGGGAAGTTTCCAGCAAATTGTTCCATTCCTCCCTGGGGAAGCTATCAACCCTTAAGCCACTATCAGATCTGACTTTGAGATCTGCCCACATGTCTGGTTGAAAACTCACACGCAAGGATTCTTCCATTTGATGAGAAATAGAACCAGTGTTTTTTTTGGGGGTAGGG